CTTTGAATAGTGTTAGCAAATAGAAATATCATAATAATTTTCATATGTCGTCTTGCTATTTGCTATCATTATTCAATGTAGTGATAAATCGAAATTTTAGTCGGGAATGGCTAAGGAGATGCTGAAATAGAGACAACAAATTTCAACTCATTCAGTAAAATTGAATATGAAGAAATTTCTTATTAGACAAAGTTCATGATTCGTCAATTAGACGATGAATCGGATCGTCCTATCAAATAAATCCTACTGGAAATATTAATTATCATTCACTAAATGAATATGAAGAAATTTCTTATTAAATGGCGTTAATACAACTATAAAAGGCATCATTCATAAGCACAAGTATGACTACCTATTGAATGGACGAGAGCTTCACTAAATTTCAAGTAGACAATTATACAGCATTTAAACTTCTTTACATATTATTATTGGTATCGCTCTCGAGATTGTTCACATGCTTAAAAGAGAAACAAATAGAACAAAAAAAGAAAGAAAATATATCTAATCCATCAAAATAAAAGAGATTAGTTTAGGAAAATGAAGTGTACTAAGAAAAGAAAAAAAAAAGGTCAAAGCTCCCAAATAATGCATTTATCTTGTGGGTTTCTCCTCCACAACTATTGGGAAAAGTTGACAAGCAACAAAACTTCATGTGAAACACAAAAGTCTTCCTTATCAATGGTTATAACATCTTTTATAGACATCTAGTTTACCAAAAAGCAAACTCCAATTTGTGATTTAAAAAGCTTTATTGTGCACATTTAAAAGAGCTTTTTTAAAAAGTTAATGCTAGGAAGTCATAACCTTTTTTTTTTTTTTTCAATTCGTTCAGTTACATACATGTTAATTCATTTTCACATCAAATGCTTAACATGTACACAATAGAAATGGGGACGAGACTGTATGGATCAACTTATTTAGAGAGAAATTTTTATTTAAATAATGCCTCCCAAACAAAAATGACATCATTTTTGCAATGAATAGAACATCTTTTGTACATAGTATTAAACAAAATTAATTAGTAATATCGATCACAATTATTTTTTATTTCTTTTCAATATGTTTAATTTTGTATGCCGACTTTAAATAAATAAATCTCTATTTCAGCGAGTAATGCTATTTGTAAGTCATGCTTATCTATTAGAAATTAATTGTCACATTTTATAAATTTGAAATGTATTTTAATTTATTAAAAAATATGATCGTGATCCACTGTCACATAGACAATAACGACTAACGAGTGAACACAGCGTACCAATAATATTATTCTAATCCAATTGATATACAACCCCCAACCACTCATCCCATGATCCTTCGGCATTCCAATTTATCTATACACAAGTGGTGGACAAAAAATGATAATTTATTAGCCATTTAGTTCCCTTAAAGGCAATAAACAATGGGAAATTTTAGAAATTTAAGCTAGTGATTTCTGAAGTTAACCCCATAGACATAAAAAAAAAAAAACCAAAAACTGCAGTTTCTGTACCTAATTTTTTAGTTGAATAATAATAAAAATTAAAACTTGCTATTATATAATTTAAGAAATGTGGAATTATAAAAAAAGGGAAAGAGGGGAAGCATGAAAAAGTGAGTTAGTTAGTTTGTGTTTTAAAATGTAAGAAATTGCACTATTTGTCCCAAACTTATTGTTCAAATAGTATATTAGTTTTCAACTTTTAAAAAGTACATTTTCCTCTGTATTTCATTATAATTATACAAGTAGTGTTTGAGAATGAAAATGACCAATTCTCTACTAAATTGTCGCGTGATCCACATGCCCAATTTTCTGACACTAAGTTTTTTTTATTCTTTTGCTCGAGTTAGTTCTGAAAATTTTATTGTGAGGTAAGTTTCCTTGAGAAATCTGTGCTTACTCAACTAAGCTTTTAAGTACTTACGTGTAGTAAGTTCAAGTAATATGTCTCTAAAAATAAGTGAAAATTATGGGTTCTAAAGAATATAGTTAAAATGATATTGAATCAACTTATAAGCTTGAAATATTGGAGGCCAATTCGCTACTCTTACAATAATTTTGGACACATGATGCAATATTTCCTTTTAATTGAAAACGAAAAACAAAAGGAAAGTTATGAAAATTAAATCTCAGGCGCCATAGTGACGTTCTCTCACGATCCATAGATGTCAAATTATCAAGAACAATAGGCTACTATTTTACATGTACCGCACGCGCTGAGTTCGTGAAAGGTCATCAAATTTGGTGGTCATAACTCCCGGTTTAGCTCTTTGTTCGAGCCCTATTATTTGCAAAAATAGGTTTTATGATAGTGAATTTTTGTTGGATTTGAAATTGAAAAATAAGAAAAAATAAATAAATTTGTGTGTAATATTAAATAAATTTGAAGAAGCATCATGAGAAAATGGGGCGGCTTTATTGTCCCAGCTCAGAAAGTGATAATATATACATTATAGAGGTAGAGAGAGAAACCTCCCAAATCAAGAACTGAAGAACCGCCTCAAGCACAAGTACAGAGAAAGAAGAGAGAGCTGCTAAATGGTAGCTTCTTGAACTGTCATTGGTTCCATATTTCTCCATTTTCAGTAAGGATTGACTGCATATAAACACATGGATTCACATAAAAAGGTTGTTTGGCAAAAGGGAGTAGGGGGAACAGAAAGACAGTGATATTGTCGTAAATCCATGTCAAAGTAGAGAGAGAGAGAGAGAGAGAGAGAGAGGTAAAAATGAGGGCTCAAGAAATTTGATTCATTTGGGTAATTGTTTCGGTGTTTTCAAGATTTGACTTTTGTTTGGTGTTGAGGAATTTTGTTACTTATTATGGAAAATAATGCAAAAGATTCATCAGCAGCATCAGGGGCACCACCACAAGCGGAGGAGCTATTAAAGAAGCTCCAAGAATTGGAAACTGGCCATGCCCAGTTAAAGCAAGAGATGTCTAAGCTCACGAGTTCACCACAATCAACTGTGCATCAAAATTACAAGCAGAGGTCCCATTCAATTTCCCCTCAGCGGATGCCGTGGAGGAGGGCTGGTGGAGGAGATGGTGGTTTAGTGGCATCATTCCGGCACTCATCGCCTTTGCAGCGCGAGAGTAGCAGTAAGGATGTGCATAGTGGCAGTGGTTGTGGGGCTGGGGGTGGTGGTGGAGTTGGAGGAGGGCCAGCGGCTGTGAAGTTCACAGATAAGCAATATTTGAATATATTGCAGTCAATGGGACAGTCAGTGCATATACTTGATCTGAATGGTCGTATAGTTTACTGGTGAGTCAGTTGAAATTTTATTGGCTCATTTTCTTGATCTATCTTGCATATGGTTATACTGATAGTTTTAGTTTGGGCTTTCTTATACTGATTATGCATTTAGTGCACGTTTTGATACGTAGTATTATATCGTAATGGACAATACAGACATTAGTTTCATTTGAGCATTGTCTGGTACACTTTATCAAACACAAAATGTTTAGAGAATGTGGATTTGACGCAGGATGGAAACGTGAATAATAATAGAAAGATCTTGTTAGAAATACACGAATGGGTGTTGCTAGAATTTCGCTTGAATGGTTTGAGAATTATTGGAATCCATTAAATAACGAGAAAAACTGAAATATCTTATTAATCAAGAAAAGCAAATGTATAATTTACAAAGTCCTAAACACATATTTAAAGACCCAAAGCAAATCCTAATCAAATTAAAATCCTATCGGAAAAAGCTTTCGGATTGTACTCGCGGATGAAAATTCGACAACCGATCCTTTTTATTTCGTTTCTTTTACAATTGGTTAGGATTTTCTCTTCTAATCATTCCGCATCAAGATTGATACGTAGTTGCAATGTTGACATTGTACATTAAGACCCTGTTTGGTACACATTAATTTTTTCATTCTCATTCTTCTACTCATTTTCAACTACACATTCTTCAATAAAATAATATTTTTCATCACATCAATTTCCTTCATTTTTAACCACACATTCTCCATCAATCTACTATTCAATAATACATTCTTTCAAAAGAATGTATCCCAAACACACTCTAATAATAATAATTAAGAACTTTTGTTTCGATAAATACAAGGTAAGATTCAACTCCCTATGTAGAAATGTAATTCTATAATTGCCAATTTGGTTATATTTTCTGTTGCCAGGAACAGAAGTGCTGAAAATCTTTATGGATATTCAGCTTCCGAAGCTTTAGGGAAAGATATCCTTGAGCTCCTAACAGATGACCGAGACTTTGCTGTGGGAAGAAATATATTGCGACGTGTAATGATGGGGGAGAATTGGACGGGGCAGTTTCCTGTTAAGCATAAGAGAGGTGAGAGGTTTTCAGTTATTGCAACAGATACCCCTTTCTATGATGATGATGGCTCTTTGGTCGGGATTATATGCGTCTCCTGTGATTCAAGACCTTTCCTAGAAGCGAATGCAGTAATATCCGCACCTAAGCCGGTGGAAACTAGTTCAAGATTTAGCAGGCCAAGACTTTTTGCTTCAGCCAAACTTGGACTTGATCCTCAGCAGCCTCTACAAGCTGCTATTTCCTCCAAAATATCAAATTTGGTTAGTCTTGTACTTTCTTGATTACATTACGAATGATAATTTGTAGCATATGTTGACTTCCGGAAATCATTAAATAGGCTTCCAAAGTCAGTGAGAAAGTTAAGTCAAAAATAAGATCTGGAGAGAACAGTTTGGATCATGATATTGGAAGTGAAGATAGTCATCACTCTGATAATGGTTTCTTGGATACTGCTCTCTCTGACCATAGGGAAGATGCAGCTTCAAGTGGAGCCAGTACGCCCAGAGGAGATATGCATCCGTTTCCTTTTGGCGTGTTCTCTGGGGGTAGTCATGAGGAGCACTCCCCAATTAATCCATCAAGAGATTCTGGTGACAAGAGCGAAGGAAAACCTGGTATCTCTAAGATCATTACCTCGAAAGCCGAAGCTTGGATTGGTAAGAAAGGTTTGGCATGGCCGTGGAAAGGAAATGAACGAGATGGATCAGAAACAAAGACATATCATCCTGTCTGCCCGTGTTTACACAATGACCAGGACAACGAGTTGGGTCAGCGGAAGAGTGCATCAAAGTCAGTAAATCTGGTTACTGAAAATCACTGGAGTGCTCATAGCGAGGCTTCAGGATCTTGGTCCTCGCCGTTCAATGTTAACAGCACAAGCACGGTTAGCAGTGGTGGAAGTACTAGCAGTACTACTGTTAATAAAATCGATACCGTATCTGACTTCTTAGATTATGAAATCTTGTGGGAGGACTTGACAATTGGAGAACAGATTGGTCAAGGTAAGTGCATACCGTCATTGCAGGTGGTTATTGCCAAGTCTTTGTTTTCTTAGTTTTTGCAGGTATTATTTCCCTTTAATACCCATGGATCCTGTGATTTTAGGGAAAAGGGTTGCATATTTAATAAATTATGGCCTCGAATTAGCCAGGGTACCGACCAATTAGGCAGCAAAATTTTTGTTAATATTTGATGTTTTGTAGTTGAAATTTCATTGCTGGTCTTTACTATGCCCCCTTTTAATCTCTGTACCTCTCACCTTTATATTATGTGGATGCAGGTTCTTGTGGAACTGTGTATCATGCTCTGTGGTATGGATCCGTATGTTCTCTGTCTCTCTTCTTAACCACGTTGGTAGAATACACAAAAACAACTTTTTTATTCGAATCAAAGTTTGTTATTATGATTTTCACTCTTTCAAGTACCGAGCTCCAAATTAATGATAAGGAAGAATTGTAAAATGCTCCATTAAATTTCCCTCCAGAGCTTTGTACTTTGGAAATTTAAGCATATACTCCGTCTGGGTACATTTTATAAGTTTTATAAAAATAGCCTAAGAACTGACTTGCTCACATCACCATGATTGTTCTTTTTCTTTTACTGCTAATATTTCAGTTCTGTAAAAGACTTTACAAATAAAAAAGTAATATAAGAATATATATATATAAAGTTATGGATGTGCTAGTTTTCATCTTTAATTAAATGAATGTCTGTTATGCAGGATGTTGCCGTCAAGGTATTTTCCAGGCAAGAATATTCTGACGACGTAATATTTTCCTTCAGACAGGAGGTGAGTACGTCATTTTTAGTTTGTTTTCAATTCTTTCTTTGTGCTATATAACTGCAACTATTCTTCACGGAATGTCTAGGAAAATTATCTTGAAACCATGCCACAAAACAAGCTATATATTCTGAGTTATATAATATTCTTGTCTCAAGATAGGATCTTTTCGTGACATTAAATAAGTTCTAATCAAGTGGCTTCTGCTGCCTGACTATAGATTGGTTTCGCACTGAGAAATGTTCCTTCAAATTGAGTTGTTCACTTGGACCATGTTTTGAGTGTCCAAAAGGCTAAAAATGATGCAGTTTTTTACTAGTCTTAGTAACAAAAGCCAGTGAAGGAATAAAATAATTAGAAAAACTAAGAATTAAACTTTTGCCAAATCTGCTTAAAGTTGTTCTTTGTTTTTGAAGGTGTCACTTATGAAAAGACTTCGACATCCTAATATTCTGCTCTTCATGGGTGCTGTTACTTCGCCTCAACGTCTTTGTATTGTTACAGAGTTTCTTCCTCGGTGTGTCTTCTACTTTCCCCTGTGCCTTCCCCTCCCGTTTCTCTTCTACTTTTATCCCCAGAATCAGTGTCGTGTATTCTTTATATCTTCTGTGTATATCAGTATAATATTTTATTCTCTGTATCTCTATTATTTTGTGCTCTTCAATTAGCAGAGTGATTTATATACAAGTTTCCAACTTTCCATTTGATACAGTGGGAGTTTGTTCCGGTTATTACAGAGGCATACATCAAAATTAGATTGGAGGCGACACATTTACATGGCTTTGGATATTGTAAGTATCTTGAGAGTTCGGAATACATGTGGGATATCAGTCCATTCAAATTTAACCATACCTTATTTATAGTGAAGGCATAAGATGCATTATGTCTCAGAATTTCTTTTTTTGCTTTTAGTAGGCTCTCTGTGCATGTTTGGTACAGATTATAATTAGGACTAGATAGGACAATAACAAGATTTTTGCTTATTTTTCTAATCATCCCTACCAAACATACCTGTATGTTTAACATTTTCTAAAGATCACTGCGCATTCTTGGGTTATTCTTTTTGTGGTATATATTTTGCACTGGCTATATTTCCACAGGCACGAGGCATGAATTATCTTCATCGTTGCAATCCACCTATTGTTCATCGTGATTTAAAGTCATCCAATCTTCTCGTTGACAAGAACTGGACTGTGAAGGTCAGCCTTGGGTTCTTCAGAATATGCTGTTTAATCTCGTCTCTTATTTCCTAATTTTGCTTCGTATGTGCTTTAGAAACTCCATGAGAGGAAGACTGATACATCCTCTTCAACAGGTTGGTGATTTTGGTCTCTCACGGCTTAAACATGAAACTTATTTGACAACAAAGACGGGGAAAGGAACGGTATTTAACCGGCACTGAACAATTTTCTTCTTGGCTGCACCAGTACCATACATTCTAAATTTATTAAGCCCCTGTTTGATAACCATTATTTGGGAAAAACAATGTTTTGAATAGTGATTTTTTTGGAGAATGTGTTGTTAAAAAGTAGGAAAATTTTTGGATTTACGTACAGAATATTTTATTGTGTGAATGTGTGGTTGAAAATGAGTATGTAGAAAGAAGAGTTTTCAAATAATAGTTGTCAAATGGGGGCTAAGTTGTTAGCTGGTTGACAACTTACTTATTCCTGGTCATGCAGCCTCAATGGATGGCTCCAGAAGTACTTCGTAATGAACCCTCAGACGAGAAGTATGCTTAGTGACTGGTGATATTGAATATTGTTATAAATGAACCTCTGTTGAAAACAAATAAATCTGATTCTTGACATTGTTTCTTGGAATAACTAGGGCTGATGTGTACAGCTTTGGTGTAATACTATGGGAGCTCGTTACCCAGAAGATTCCTTGGGATAACCTCAACTCCATGCAGGTATTGGTAATTTTTCTGAAAATTTATTTAGACATCAGCTTGAACAACATTCTCATTTGCTTATATGATCAGTCTCGATTATGAAAGAAACTTGAAGTCACATACAGTAATTTTATTGCATGTTGACCAGTATCATTGGATTCTACAGGTAATTGGAGCTGTAGGGTTTATGAACCAACGGCTAGAGATTCCGATGGACGTTGATCCACAATGGGCTTCTATCATTGAGAGCTGCTGGCAAAGGTCTTTCTCTAGTTCCTGATTGCTGTTCCATTGTTTTCATTATCTGCATACAGATGACTTTCAGTATTATCTTTTTCGCTATTTTGGACAGAATTTTCTATTCAGATGATATATGACCAAGAGTACTAGACTAACTGTTGTTTCAAAATATAAAAAATTGTGGCCTCGAAGTTCTCAAATCTTGAGAGAGAGAAAATTATTTAGTGATATGGGATTCTACCTGTTGTATATGAGCAACTTTGTGCACTCAATTGTTAAATATATTTGGGTTTTTATTTTTACGATAAAATTCTTGACATTATGGATGGTATTACTTAGAAAATCTGATTGCATACGAATAATCATTTGCCATCATCTTCTTTTCTCTAGCATTCTATAGCTATATCTTGATGTGTTCATGATTTGGATTCTAGCTGATTTTCAAATTATCTGTATTGAGGCCAGTGAACCACAGTACCGGCCATCGTTCCAAGAACTAGTGGACAAGCTTAAAGATCTGCATAGACAATATGCCATTCAATTTCAAACTGGTCGTAGCGTTGCTGGAGATAGTGGCCAAAAAGAACTGTAAACACAAATGGCATGTTTAGTAAGCTGGCTGGGCCAAATTCAACATCATTGAGGAAAGAAGTTTAAATTCTCTGTAGTACTATGGTACTGTCTAATGTTGTGTACCAGACATGTCCGAAATGTGCATAATTATGCTTGATTTTTGCTCGTAGCATTGCCAGCAGCATATACACTTTAATGTCTTTATCGATGTTTTGCATCTGGTGCTGGCAAGATGGCTGTTGGAGCTTGCGATGAATTGCTTGTGGTGTCGAGACGAAAAATCTAGAGGCTGAGGCCAGCTCAGGATTGTCAATTGAGGAAATTGATGGATTAAAATGTAGATTTCATTTAAGAGAGTCTCCGGTGGAACGTGTTTTTCATTTGTTGACATCAGGAAATCCCCGATCACTGATGCATCTGCTGTAATATAATCATGTCATTTATTCATTTCTCCATTCAGTGATCAGTGTGCTGTACTGAGTGTAGACATGTTACTGAGATCATTGGTGGATTGATAATGCTAACAATTCAAACATATCTGTTTTACATGCATTTTTGTCTTAGGAAAGGAGATATGGAGGAAAGATATGCAGTGCTTAAACTAACCTTTGATGCTTTTGTCTTAGGGAAGGAGATATTAAGAAAAGTTTTAGGATTTAATTCTTTAATCATTTGTCAGAAAATGATGAGCTTGCTTGGTGAAAGGTCTGCTGCACGCACACGAGGCATTGAATTACAGATGTTTTGTTTGCTGAGATCACGATCAAGAGTCAAGTTGTAAGTTATGACTCTTCATGGTTGTTCTGTATTAAAATGAAAAGCAGTTTAAATGTTGTCTGTTTATATTGTTTAGTCATATTAATACTGCATAGCGCATACTGATAAGGGGGGACTGTATAGCACTTGACAAAATCAAAGTTTATATTATTTAGTTATGTCTAATATTGCATATCAAACTTAACCTTCTGTGTACAAGTAGGAGATGGATTCACGGTTTTCGTGATCAGTAGCTTTTATATACAGTAATATATACACTAACTCGTAGGCATGGATAAATATACAGATAGAGGCTCCCTTTCTATCTGAAGTCTAAAGATGCACATGCACTAGAAAAACCATGCTGGTAGCCATTCCTTGCCTTTGATAAAATCTACAGAGAGGAATGGAGTTGCTTCTTTATCAGTGAGTTGTTTTGACCAAGGTGCGCGATTTGTTGAAGCAGACCCAGGTCCATGACATTTATACTCGGCTTGGTGCAAGTTTCTGCTTCAAGGTACAACATTAATTGCATTAGAATTTCCCCCTTGAGTAATATTTTTCTTATGATAATTGTCAACCACATAATGTTCGATCCAATTGAGCCAGTAATTAAGAAAAAAGTGGGACGAACTAAGCCCCTGTTTGGCCCCCCATTGCTTGATGTTATAATTTTTGGAATAGTATTTTTTGGGAGAATGTGTGGTTGAAAAAGAAGAAAAAGTTTTTGATTTATGTGTGATTATTTTATTGGAAAATGTGATTAAAAAAAAGAAGAGAAAAATGTATTATAAATTAATTGGAGGCCAAACGGGGGCTAAAAGATTGATGAGATTTGACTGGAGTGGGATGTTAGGTGGGAGATTGAAGTGCAAGAATTGACATTTGTACCGGACACAAGTAGCCTAGTCACTGCTGACCGTGTACATATGTTGGATGTAAGATAAAATTTATTGGGATTTGATATTGCTTAAGCGTCCCTGAATGTGACTTTTGAGATATCTATGTTCAATTATTAGTAAAGAATAGGAAATTGAAGATGATGTCATGTATAGGATTAGAGCGGGTTAAGATGAAAGAACTACAAGAATTCTATGTGATGGGAAATATCATTCCAGTTATAGAACCGTGATTATACTTGCTCTGCTTTTTTATGCTTCTGGGTGTTGAGCTAGTAAAAGACAAATCAACTATACGATGAACGTAGTGGCATTGCTAAAAGGGATGTATGATCATACGAAAATGGATAAGATAAAAATGTCCACAAGTGGAAGTGGTGTGATTGCAGAAATATAGAGAAGGATAACTTAGATGGTTGTGTAGATCTAAAGAGTCTTGTGTTCATAATCTCGGTAGTACAAATTAGAAGAGGACGGATATACCAAATTAACAAGGTCTCTTGTAAAGAACTTAGTTGCATTAGATCTTTTAGTAGATTGCTCTACGAATCAAGCGGAGTGGTGTAGAAGTAGAAGGATTTACGTAGGCTTAATCTTGTGAATTTTTGAACTAAAGAAGAAACTGATATTTGTTTTCAAGAACCAGTTTCTTACCCTGTACTGCCTGAAAGACTCCAGTTTGTCCAGCCTTGAGGTATAACTGTCCTAGAAAAGTAGGTGTGTGCAAAAACTACCCTGGAATATGCTCCGTTAGCTCTACCCAAGTACACATCACCGATGCCATAGACTTTCCCCTTGACAAAGACAAAGCCACTTCTTTCCTTGGTGCTTTGCCTGCTATGTGCTGTGATAGATCCTCGGATTTCATGTCTCTTATTAGCAATCACCAAAATCTCGCACTCCTGCATCCATTTGTAAACAATAGAACCATGATCAGGGAAAGAAAAAAATAATAATAATAAGGGCTGCCAAAAGTTGCTCGTTTCTTCAAATACGTTTCTTAAGAATGGCTACAATTAGCTCACATGATATATCGATTGCCCACCACCAAAGATGAAATCTATGGAGCCCTGAATGTAACAGTTGTCATAGTAGTGTCTGCCCTTGTAGTCAAAGAGTGTGTTATGGCTGCTGAAAAATCCGCAATGGTAGAAGGCAGACTTGTCTCCTCCTACAAATACTGCTACGGACTGGTTTTGAGATGTATGAGCAATGCCAATGGGAGCCTCATTCTGTCAAACCATATGAATTATCGAAGTGGGTGAATTCTTGTCAAACCATATGAATTATCGAAGTGGGTGAATTCTTGTTAATACGTTGCCGACATGTTCGGCATGTTCTACTGAATAGGATTGGACAAGCTTTACATGAGAATTATGCCAAATATATTGTCACATGAATAATTCTGAGTTGCATGTAAACACAACCAATTTAGCTTTCATGTACCCAAAAATGAGTATTGACACTTCTTAGGGAAGAACACGTGTGAGGTGATAGAAAAACCGTACCTTGAAACTAATGCCATAGGCAACAAAATGTGGAGCTTCAACTTTGAATGTGGCGGATTGATAGCTGTCCTCAGAGTTCTCCGACCAGACGATTATCGTCTGGCCTCTTCCGTCGCCTCTCATGAATATGTGGGGCTTGTTTTGTGGTATGTGCACCTTTTCTCTGCAATAAATTTTACGGGATTCAGTCACTTGTCTTGATGGTAAAAATCCATGTTATCAAAGGATCATCTAAGAAAAATTCTGGTAATGATTTGCACAAACTTGTAGAAAATAACCTGTAAACTCCTTTACTGACATGGATGATGATCCAATTAGAATTCCCATTTGGGACTGAATCAATTGCAGCTTGAACAGATTTGAAGTCTCCTTGGCCATTTGCATCAACTTTTATTGTGCGATTTGTATTTAATTTTTGAGTCGAGAGAGGGGAATCAACAACATTTTTCACAGAGAGACCATTGCCATTATCCAAGAAAAGGACTAATGTGACAAGAATACATGCAGAGGTAACATTTATAGAACATTGCATAAAAGATAATTGCATTTTAGGGAGATAGAAACTAGGTTTATGTCGAAAAATTAAACTTGGGAGGTTAGTAGATTATATTAAGAGAAAATTATTGGTTTGCATGATAAATGGTTCTTAAGGTTTCCTATATTGAAGGGCTTCCAACAATTATGTGTGGTTGTCACGGGGACACTTTATCCTAGGTTGGGTTTGACGATGCATAATAGAATTAAAAAAGAAAAATAATTCCAGCGGTTGATTTATTTGGTATGGAGCAATCACTTTTGAGGATGATCCCTTGTGCGCAGAAGTGCACAGTTGGCGAGGAGAACCTGGGAACCAGTTGAGGCATATTCTGTGATTTACTTCCTCCAAGATCTAAGGGTAAGAGTCTTGGAGGTCCAGGATTTAGTCTAGCAAAGTTGGGACACATGTGTATCAAAAAATAAAAATAAAAAAAATAAGTTAAGCCCCTGTTTGACAACTTTAACAATTTAAAAACATTGTTTCGAATAGTATTTTTTTCGAGAATATGTGATTGAAAATGATGGAAAAGTTATGGATTTACGTATATAATATTTTATTGTGTGATTGGAAACGATTGTGTCACAAAAATTAAATTAAATTAAAGATTGTCAAACAAGGGCTAAATTTTGCATGTTTGTACAATACTATCTAATATTGTCTGTTAGACATCTCTCATCTTCGGAGAATATTATAATATTAAATTTGATACTAGGTATTAGTTAATTTTCGTAGATAGTTACTAAAAGTAGTTAACGTTCAATTTCTTTTTGACAAATTTATTTTGAAAAAGTTCTACGTACACAAGTTGACGTCAAAATCAGTTAAAACACTTTTTGAATTTGCAAAACCTTGTGATATTTCATTGTGTGTAGGTTGACGACGCACTTACTAGACTACATACATAAGTGATGCTCCAACACTCATCAAGTTTACGAAGAAAATGTAGTGTTATATCAAGGGGCGAATCCTTGTAATTCAGCTAGGACGGAGACTGTTGATTAAAAAATGTCCCAATTTATTTTTCAATTAAAATTGATTTAAAAACAGTGTACACATGGTTTAATTGAGCCCAACATCATCTCCATTAATTTTTTTCATTTATCTCTAATTTCCTAAAAACCTAAATTCTCAAATTACAATTCACAAATCAAAATTATAATCCATAAGTCATAACTCATAGTTTCAGACAATTATACAACATAAATTCTCATTTCTCATAATTCATAATTCACAAATTCACAAAAACTAAATTAAAAAAAAAAAAAAAGAACTGAGTGAAACTTGAAAGTTGAAACCAAACGGAAACGGTTCATTCACCACCGACAATTATGCAAGTCTGAAGTCTCTATCACTTAGTTTCTTAGAATTAATGGTATATTAAGATGTTTAAAGTCAAATAAATTAGTTAATTANTAGAATTAATGGTATATTAAGATGTTTAAAGTCAAATAAATTAGTTAATTAACTGGTATGTATTAAATTTCATATCAATTTGATGATGCTAACAACAATTTTAGAATTTCTTTTAGTTTTCTATATATAGTTTGCAGGCTTTCAATTTTCTATATTCATCTCAAGATTAGCTTATAAATTGTTCTTGAAATGGGTTCCGGAGGTTTTAGAATATGGACTATGATATCCATTGTAGTATTAATTATTAAGAAATCCCAAAATTTGGTTATGGGCAACAAAACTAAAGGCCAAAGGCGCCCACCGGTCTCGTAGATCAGCGGCATCACAAACAGCAGGTCAGCACTCCGCAGCGTTCACTTTTCTGGTCATCTCCCTTCCCTGTCGGTTTTCAATTTTGGAATTGGATTAGGTTTTGTGGCTAATTAACCCATGTATCCGTTCATCCGATGGACCAATAACCATGGATTAGGCCAATTCATTGGGCCTTTTAAAAAAAAAAAAAAGGCCAAAAAAGGCCCAAACAAAAAGAGGGAAAAAAAAAATTCAGGCCTAATGGCCACCCATTCTTGGCAAGCGCAGCGGACGTCTTCTTCATTTCTTCCAAATGGTCGGCGGAGGGCGACTTGAAGCTCCCAGTGGATCGAGCAAGGGCGGCCACCTGGTCCGCACATGATTATATCTTCATATTTATTACTAAATGAACGGTCCAATATTTGTTGACACGACTTAACCCATAGCATTGGATATTTTGACGACTCAAACATATTTCTCACCATCGAGAACAAAGCAACTTATTACATTTATTACCAGAAACATAAGCAAAAAATGGGTCTTTCACTTGTTTGTTACCATTCCATCCTTTTGCTTACAATTTTGAAGGTTTTTAGTTTCGTTGGCATTTGAAAATATTAGGTTACGTTTGATTTGTAATATTCAGTTTTTAATTTTGCAAAACATTGAAAACGTGTTTGAATTGGTATTTCTAAAAATATATGTGCGAAAAATAAAGATAAACTTATAACATAAAAAATCAAAACTTATTTTGACGTTTTAAATGTTATCAGTAAAAATTATGAACGCGCTCAAAACTAGGAAAACAAATTTTTAAATAAAAAAATATATAATTTTAAAAAATAAAAATCAAGAAAAATAAATCAAAAATAAAATTTTTTGAAAAATAAAAATTATAATAAATAATAAATAGTTCAAGCTATCAATGATTATTTATATACATAAAAAAAATTTTAAAAAAAATATTTAAATGAACACCAATAAAAATATTATCAGTCAATATCATTAATTTTTAGTTTTATTTCCATATATTTCCGAAAAATTCTCTATGCTGTTATCTCTTGGTTGATTCATTAGCCTCTAGCTGAGTTTGGTTTTGTCAAAATATAATATAATATAAGAATAAGCCAGTTTGCTTAATTCTACATAATTTCATCAATGTAACTCACACCCAATGGTTTGCTCCGCTACGATGTTTAAATGAGCAATTACGAACCAATTGAAGCAAATACGCGCACACACTGTTAAGTAACGGCACAGATTTTACAAAATATTTAATCACCAAATTATTGGAAATCCCAAACAGACACTATGCTCACAAACCATTTGACAATATGCCTAAACCAACTCTTTTTCTCTACAACAAGCTCATCCAAGTCTACTCTTCTTATGGGCCTCATAATCATTTCTTGTCTGTCTATTCCCAGATGCTGCACCAGGGGTAATGCACATTCTTTTACCTTCCTCTTTTCTGCCTGTGCCAACCTTTCTGTCCATTCCCAAAGGCCAAATGCTTCTTGCTCATTTCATTGATTTTGGCTTGCAAAGTGATGTTTATGCACTAATTGTACTAGTTGACATGTATGCTATGATGGGTTTGGTGTATTTTGCTTGAAAACAGTTTGATGAGATGAGTGTTAAGGACGTTTCGAGTTGGAATTCTTTAATTGATGGGTACATGAGGCGCGGGATTTTGGATGAAGCTTCACATTTGTTCTCGGCTATGCAATCGAGGAATGTGATTTCTTGGACTGCAATGATATCAGGGTACTCGAAGAATAGGGAAATATAGGGACGCTTTGGAAATGGAGGGGGGAATAGCAAGGCCTAATGAAGTGACCAAAGCTAGTGTTCTTCCAGCTTGTGTAAATCTAGGGAAATTGGAGGTTGGATGGTGAAGAATAATCACCAATTTTTTAGATCTTTTCTTATGCAACCAACTAGAGAAACCGAGAATAATCCATACATCACCATTATTCTAGAATCCATGAGAATTCCTTATAATTAATTTATGGAAATATCTAGAATCGTCAACATTTGTGTAGAAGAATCCAATGTCTCTATATATGTGTGTGTGTGTGCTCAACACATAAGTTGTGTGTTTGAGTATGTAAGTAAA